AACAAGCTTGAGCAGCAGTGAGGTTGTAGTGATCCACAGGGTGGCATTCTGCCTACCAAACTAAATCTGTGAACTTTTTAAAGCACTACAAGAAACATCTGCAGGACAACAGATGGCAACATAAATGTGGCTCACAGGACCCTATTTTTTATCTTTGCCAGCCTTTAAGTAATTTGTACCAAAATGTTTCATCGTGATGTGCACCTTGGGAATAACTTTTTTATTAAAGTTTCTGTCAACATGATTTAAGTCAACCGTAAAAATGTTGCTAGAAAATTTCTGAGACACCTTTTTTGAACAGTTCTAAGATTTCTATGCTTTGAAACAGAGGTGCAGTCATCAGTCTTTACTGAGCCTATATAATCTCTCCATATTGGGCTATACCTACAGAGTGATTCAGCATTTTCTTTCATAATGTTGTGGTGCTCAGGTCATCTTTTTCTGTAACAGCACTTCTCAGGTGCTCTGATTTGCACACCAGTGTAGGGAGAAAGATGGCTGTTTCTTCTCCTGTGACTAGTACCCTGGGTAGCATCCACAGAGCATGGAGGAAGAAGCTGCCTGAGTCTGCCCCAAAGGGAGAAAAGCCAGGCCAGAGGGGCAAGAGGATTGGAAAGGGACAAAGGGTCTGGCGAGACTGGGACTAGAGGGAATATTTGGGTTAGGGGTGAGTGAGAAAACTGGGGAGGAGATTAAAAGCTGGAATTTTTTCAGGTCTGATTTACAGGAGTTTAGTATCAGGTGGATCCAGAGGAAGTAAATATTTTCCTGTTGTCTGAGATGACGACACAGTACCAAAAGTAGCATATAGTGAAGGAAGGGAGAAATGTGGATGTTAAAATAGTCATTTAAGGTTTTCATTCATACATGAAAGCAGACCTGTATTTAGTTGTTTGCTGTTAATTTAATGTGAGCAACATAATTTTCCAAGCATAGTTAAAATCCATGAAGTAAAAAATATAAAGTTTAAGATTTCATAAGATAGTTTAAGCTTTGTTTAGAGAATCAGTCAGAAACTGTTCATTTTAGTGCAAGGATCTCTTACCAGTTTGGAGAAAGCTGTCAGGATATGGTAGTTCTCGCATGTCTCCTAATTTAGGAGACTCGAGGGTACAGCAATTTTTATAATAAACTTAAGTTTTTATTTACCAAAGGATACATATGGAACTTTCTGATTAAGAAAATACTGTACTCTGAAGAGAGGGCTGTATTTTGTCAGCAGTTTTCTCACAAGACTAGGAAAAAAACCTACTATGTCTTAATGTTAGCAATTGTACTAATATAAAGACTGAACTACATTTACAGACACAAATATATATATATATTTGAAGGTATCTGGCAAACACAGTTGAAGAAGATGATGAAGAATCAAAGTATGAGATTTTCCCATGGGCTTTGGGAAAAGCCTGGAGAAAGCTCTTCCCTGATTTCTTAAAGTTAAGAGATGAACTGTGGAGTAGAATTGACTACAGGGCTATTGTAAGCAGACGCTGCTGTGAAGAGGTAGGGAGGGTTTTAATGTTAATGTAGATGCTGAAACTACAAAAATTAATACCAGCTAACCATCCAGCTCTATGCAATTAACTTCTTCCTTAAAGCGAGTAGACAAACCATGGGAAAGAAAAGACGCAGCTCAAATGTAATGCTCTGTTTATCCTCCATGACATTTTATTTTCTACTTTTAAAATACATTATTTGAAACTATACTTTTAAGGTAAACTAGAATATTTTACATTGTGCTTCTTCTAAAAGTGAAGTTTTTATTGACTATAGTCTTTCTGCTTTATGCAAATATTATTATTTAGAATTTACCATTGATTGTTTCACTTCATTCACTTTGGAAATAATTTTGTGATTGTTTGTTTGCTTTACAAATTATAAGTTTGTACACAAGTAAAACCTTCAAATAAAAATCCCAGCACCTCAGGTGAAATCTTAATCCCTTCAAAATTAATATTATTGCTTCAGCTGACATTTTAAGGTAAAGTTTTTTCACCGCATTTAAAAAAAACTCAGAAGGACACACTTTTAACATTCTCCACTATTAATGCAGTGTTGCAACCTACATTTTCCAAATGTATTAGGAGGGGAAAAAGACATTCCTCACTCTTCAGGTGGAATGTATCTGTCTGGAAAAGCCCTGTCATTTTCTAAGAACATAATGTTTACTACAGCTGGTGGAAAAGGAAATCTCATTTACTCTAGAATCCCACCTCTGGGGATGGGATTGGGTCCTTATGGGAAAAGTACAAGGAGCGAGGCAAGCACAGAGTCCTTTTCCCAGCATTAGGAAGAAGTTTTTCACTGTGAGGGTGGTCAGACACTGGAACAGGTTGCCCAAGGAAGCTGTGGATGCCCCCTCCCTGGAAGTGTTCAAGGCCAGGTTGGATGAGGCTTTGAGCAACCTGGTCTAGTGGAAGGTGTCCCTGCTGATGGCAGGGGGGTTGGAACTGGATGATCTTTAAGGTCCCTTCCAACCCAAACCATTCTATGATTCTATGATTCTATGATTCTATGAGCTTCTGGCGGGGATCGCTTCAGTGACGTGAACCAGAAGATCCATCTCGTGTACACTGAGTAGTTACTAAAAGACACCACCCTAAGTGCAACGTACAAAGCATAAGCTGGTGTTTGTGAGGATTCACGTGAATGTACAAGGCTGTAAACTGTTGTGCTTCCACACCTGATTTGTAACTGTTTGCTTACTCGTGCCTAAGGCAGCAGACTTTCTAGTGAGACAAGCAGACAGAGAATAGACGATACCCGTTTCGGCTACGCAGTATTAACTCTCTGCCACACATGAACTGGAACCCTTGTTTTCAGCTCTCTTTTCCCGTTATTTTTGCGGTTTCTGATGAAATGGCTGTTCCAATAGGTGATGGCTATTGCTCCAACACATTACATATGGCAGCGAGAGCGTTCCGTGCGCCACAGCGGAGCTGTGAGGAAATACAGTGACGAAGTGCCGCTGCCCCGGGGACCTGGTGCCACTCCTGCAGACTGCCTGCTCTGTGGTAAGAAAGGAAGATTTGTACGACTAGGATTATCATCATCTTCCTCCTCCTCCTCATCTACCGGCAATTTGGAGATGATGGAATTGCATTCACCCCAGAATCTGAAGGACACCTTTACAGATGAAAAAATGCTCATTGACTCTCCTTTTTATTATGCCCAAGGTATGGCTTAGTATTGCAAATAATTTTCAATTAGTTTAGCCAACTGAGGCTGTATTTGCCCCTCAGACTTACTGCAGGGACTGCTGGTGCCCTTGGTGCGACAAGACACGATCCCTGTTTGAGCAGACAGCCCTGTTACAAACAGTCACCTTGGCAGAGCTGTGGTTTTACTGCCCGAGTTCCATTTTCATTTTCAGTTCTTGTCTCTCGACTTCCTGGAAGTAGCAACTGCTTTATATTCCGAGTCTCTTCAAATTACCTTCATCTACTACAGTACATTTTGGGTTGCATTTAGGCATTTATTACTATTCTTGCCTTATAAATTGAGAATCCTATTTTAAACTAGAAGAAACAGTAAAAATACTGGCGTATGTCACGTAAGTTAGAAGAGCGTGTGTTACGTCAGTAAAAGTGATCTTGGAGCACTGTTCATAGAAGAGGCGGGCTGCTCAGTTGCTGACATCAGTGTGGACGTGTGTTAAATCACAATTCACATTTTTCTTTAAGTGTTTCTCAATTGTTGACAGAGTTTATACAATATTTCCTTTTATGATTGGGGCACGAGTAGGAAACAGTACAAGAGTTTACTGTGAAAACTGCTTTATGTAATTGAATCTTTGCACATTAATCTACTCAGAATAGCACCCTGAGCCTTTGTAGGAGAAGCTTCCACTATATACTGCAGTTATGGGGCAAACACTCGTTTAATTGATTATTAACAGTGGAACACACTTGAGATGTAAACCTCCTGGGGGAGCTGTATAAGGCCTTAGTTCTGCAAAGTTCCTTTCATGTGCTTAGCCACTGCAGTGTTCATAGTATATTTATTTAATACAGGGTTACAGTTATTTACAGCTCTATTTTTTATTTGCACATGTTCTCAAAAATATCCAAGTTTTCACTATTATAGTAGGATTGTGCTTTTGACAGCTTCAGTACAACTGTGATTCTCAAGGGATGCCTCAACTTTGAGAAATCTGGCATTTGAATCTGCCTTGACATAAGGCAGATTCACTTGACACAAGTCAAGTGTCTAGAACAAGTCACTTAATAAATTTAATGTGGTAAACATCAACATGTGTTTATGTGAGACACTATGAGACTTAATTTAAAATCTGTTTTTACTTGAGAGAGCTTGCTTTTCACATCTGACAGAGGTCAGAAAAAATTGTGTTTATTTTGACTGAGAATACCTCATATAGTAAAGTTCCCAAATAACCAGGCAACTTTCAGCATGGGTGCTGGAAGCGAAACAAAGTTATACACGGCAACAACTGGTCTTTTTCTTGCAATAAGCACAGCGTTATCAAGAGAACAGTGAATTTCAGTTTCTCTTATAGTTGTGCTTTAAGAATATTGTTCTTAACCTGATAGCCTCCAGTTGGTAGCCAGTGAAGTCAGAAGCTGCTTCACGTGCATTTCAAAGGGCAGACTTTGATCCATTATTTTTGTACTATTTTTTTTCTCCTTTTTTCTGACAGACTGTCGGAACCCGTCCAGCAAAAGGAGACGAGGCAGCACTTTGAACCAAGACAAATCCATGGATTGGTTTACAAGCAATGAAGAATGAAACACACCCGAGGAGACAGAAACAGATATTGTGCTTCGTGGAACGATCTGTGTCGCATGGCAACAGCCCCGCTGATGGTTCCGTTAAAACTTTTCGCTTTAAATAGTAGGTAGGATTTCCAGCTTCATGGGCAGCAGAAATCAAAGCACTCATTACTTAAAAGTTACACAACTTGCAAAACGTAGCAGCTACTTTGTCACACTTTATTTTATCTTGATACAATACTGGAATTAGCAGCTAACTTCTCAGCAGTATCAAGTAAGCAGCGGTCGAAACTTTCTCAGCTTGGTAAGGAATGCTAATTAAAAAACAAAACAAGTTACTACTTCAGTATTTCAATATGCAATGATTAGTTTATTATTATAAATTTTATGATTTCATGATATAGTAACATGTCAAATGCTAGTACAAAAAATAGTATTTTTGAAAATAAAAAAAACCACTATAAACATTTAAGATAAAAAAAAACATTTTCCAAATGTCTCACCTGAATGAGCATCCTGCCAATAAGATGGTCTAGCAACGTAAGGCACCGAGCAGTATGTTTCAGCATCATCAGAAAGTGATTCTGTGAGAAGTAAATATCTTTTAATTCTTTCCAACAAGTTTAACACTAGAGTTGCCAGCGTGCGTAGATTATTTGTCCCTGACATATTGTCATTTTCTTTTTGCTTCTGTTAAAGTGCTTTGTTGTCACCTATCAGTACATTCAGACTTCTTTGCTCTACTATGGATTTGGCAAATCTATACCAATATGAGGCATCTTTTTTGGATTTGCCAGAACAGCAGGATTACAAAACAGAGCACACTGTTAACATTTCTCTGTGGAATCCTAAGCCATCAGGGTCCTTTAAAGCAGCAACAGGACAAGTATAGAATTCTATTTCAAAATAAAAATTTGAAAACAGCAGAAGAAGGGCAATCATTCTTTATTTGCAGATTGCAGTTTATTTTCTATTTCAGTCCAGATTTTTAATAAGACATTTAAATTTAAATAACCACGAATATATCCTTTGTCAAACCTGACAAGGTCTAGGCTGTCCAAAAGTTTGTCTATTCTTCACAACAATCTCAGCTGACTTAAGAAAAAAAATACTGTCTCTTCCTACACACTCTGCCTTCGTTATATCCTTGGATTATCATACTGAAGTAACAGGATATCTCATCAGCAATACGGTTCTTACCATGGTTTTCACTTTCTTTAAGAACTACTTGATCCTCAATGTGGATTTCGTTGTATTCCTTTCGAGGTGGTTCTTCAATATTTTCTTGAGTTTCCACCATTTGTCTTGATTTGCCATTCTTGATTTTAGCAGGGAGTACCAACCAATTTCTATGAGTTACCTCAATGATCCTTTCACACAAAAAAGGGAGCTTGCAGGTCCGTATTCTGTCTAAAAGGTCAGTAACCTGCGTGATGCTTTTGAAGAAATGCAAAGGATAAAGCAGGATTTCAAAAACTCAAATCATACACTGCCAGTCTCAAGTCTACTGCCTCTGTCACATTCCTTACCTTTGAGGTTACATGAGTCCTTCAATTTTAGGGTAAAGTCATGAGCAACCTGACCACTGAGTTGGGAAACAGCACAGTTACTTGGAGGATGTCATTAAGTGCAAACTTACACTGACCATAACAAAAGCATTCTCAAATCAAAGGATTCAGCCAAGTGTAATTTATACTGAGTGCAACTTAGTATATAAACTTAATATAAACTTAAAAAAGTTACATGGGGAGAAAAAAATAATTTCAGTAAATATTTCATTAATGTTAGATGTATATTTTAAAAGATGTTTAGTTTGTAACAATGTTAGGTGATGCCTGAAAAAATGCATAAGTGCCAGAAGTAAATACTTACTTTGCTAAATACACAGCGCACACACCACCCTGTTTCAGACTTGGGTGTAGGACAGGCAGAGCAGACTGAGGGTTAAGCATATCCAGAAATATCTGCAAGAGAAAGATACACCTTTTCCCAGTAAATATTAGTATCTCAGGTTTTTTCCATAACAACACTTGGAAAAACAACATTTATCCATGGAAAATGAATGCATGCAACAGCAATATGTAATCACAAACCAGTTTTATTACTGCCTCTCAGAACCCTACAGAAACCTGAGGTCCATGCATTTACAAAGTCCTTGCCATTTCCAAATGAACTGCTATTAGAAGAGCAAGTAGCATTTCACCAAGACAGTAGTCTGGTGTTAACATTAAACCTCCTACTAATTAAATTCTGTAATGCTGATGTGAGTAAAACCTTTTGGAAGACTACATTTGCTAACACCTTTGGATATCTAGTTTTCAAATGTAAAAAAAAAAAAAGTATTCAAAAGCATCTTTATCAGGAAAATATCACACTACAGTCTCAATGTCCAACTTGCTCTTTGTTTCAAGATTTAGAAAGCTTCTATCTTTGGCAATTTATCCATCTTCTGTTAGAAAACTATTCAAACTGTAAAACAATGGGATATGCAATATCTGATCTTTCCTGTAGATTGTTAAAGTTTTAAAAAATGATATTTTTATGCAGTGGATTTATTTGCTCAGGCCATTGAACACAACTGTCATTGTTTAAAGCGTTAATGTAAGCAGGTTGTCTCTTTGACATGGAAGAGTGGATAACATCCAGGATTTTTCCCCAGCACGCCCTCCTTTACAAGATCTGGATATAAAAAGCAGGACAGTAGAGCAAGCAAGAGCAACCCTTACTCTTAACTTAGTCCTCAGTTACATTGTGCACTCTATATAGCTGATAGCAAAGTATTTACATATTTGTATTTTCAGTAAGCTTATGTATTTTTTTTAAATTTAATGTTTGAAATATATGTTTTAGATACAAAAATACCTGTTTCTCCGAAATGCAAGACAGTAAGTTTGTCTTTGCTTTCAAGACAGCAGTGATTAATTGTAATATTTCTGTGCTACAGCCATATAGCTCTTTCATTTGGGAACCTGTAACCAAAACCTTGAAAATACTTGTGACCTGACAAACAAAATCACAATGTTTCTTTCACTGATGACGATCTGATTGTTTTTTTTCATGTTAAACTAGATACAGGAATCCCATTGTGAGTGTGAGCACTGGAGGTTTTAATTTATACAGAAAGGATAAGTGTCAAATGGGGGGAATTTTTTGGACTTACTGCATCAAGAGTTACAGATTTCATATCCGCAGCAGCTGTTAAAATGTCCTTAAGAATGAAATCCACATTATCTGGCCACTCTTCCAGATGTCCTATTTCCCATGCAGCACGCCAGTGCCTGTAATTCCTCTTAGCTAAATTGTGATGATCATCTCTGACTTCATAACTTATAACACGTCCTTTCGGCCCAACTGAAAACAAACAAAAAAGATGAGACTTACTACTTTCCCCCTGCCCCCGTAATAAAGAATTTAGAAAAAAGTAGCATAGTAAATAACAGAAGTACACCACCTTTAAATCCCAGCTTCACTTTAGGAAATAAATCACATATGAAACAAGAAATTGCAGTTTATTTTTTCTTTACCTTTAAAACAAAATATGCAGATAAAGTGCGGGGTTAGTATTTTCACAGATTGAAATCCATCAATCCACGGAGGGAATACAGCACAGTTATAGTAGCACAAACTGTTCCTAACAAGTCCTCCCGAAGTAACTCCTGCAGTAAAAGACAACTTGAGCCCTATCAATCCATGATCCTCCTGCTACAGCTACCAGAGGCACCAGCCAAGAAAGCTGCAACATCGGTCACTACTCACAGATGCTATAAAGCTGACAGACAGTGTCTGCTTCTGTTGTTTGTAAGACTTTAAACTGCTGGTTTTCAATTTTTTCTTACAATCCTCATTTTTACAAAGGTTTGCTGTCTTCCATGTATAGTTCTTTCTCCACCTGTCCCTTAGGGCTGGGGAAAAGCTAAGAAAACCCCCACACCTGCTCACTGATCTCAGCCCCTCAGACAAGTTTTCAGGTATACTCCTCGATTTACACAGGCTTGTGTTATTTTCCTGTTATTGTATGTAACTGTAATAAATTATTTGATTACTTGTTTTAAGTATAAATTTACTACCCTGAAATTTACCATATGAGTCCAATACAGTGTTCTTCATAAAGGAAGTGTTTCCAGGAGAGGCCAGCACAGACAGCAGGGTGCGCATTGCTGTACTATTCTGTCCTTGTATTACTCTTAATTTCTCAAACCTATCACACCATTGGCTTCACTTTCTCATTTCAGTTTTTTAATGGGCAAAGAGCTTTCAGCAATCAGCAGCTCAGCGGGGACGTTCTGGGACTTTTTAGGCCATTTCAGGTTGGAGCCACCAAGCTCCTTCCCTCACCTACGTGATCCCACTGTGAATCCATTCAGAAAACTGAACAAAAGAAGGGCTGGGTTTCCTGGCAGCCTCTCCCTGATCTAACTCACCCTGGATCAGACAGGCCAGAGCCAACACGTAAGGAGGGAGGGTTTCAGCAGTGTCACCTTTGACCATCTTAAACAGCTGCAGAACTGCAGCACCCACTCCTTATTACTCAAGATTATGAGTCTGGAACTATTGGAAGAATAAAATTGTTCACATTGGAGTCAGTCTCATTCCTTCCTCTGCTCATTCAGAAGATTTCCTACATTTTGGAACTGACCTCTGGAAAAACAAGGAGTTAAAATAGCTAAGCAAAACTCTTCATTATTGTGAAGCTGCGGTGTGTCAAGCTTGCATACATCGTATTTTTCAGTTCTCAAAGATCTTAAAGTCACAGCAAATGCCACATTCTTAATTTTGTCCTGTTGTATGTCAGTAGTTTCTGGGAAAGATTAAAGAAGGAATAGAAAATAAAACATAAACTGAGAGTAACACAAAGAGGAGATGAACAAAATCTGTTAAATCAATGAGAATTTTGGAAATTAAATAATTCCACAGACCTTGCTAATGTGTCTACCAGATTTAAATTCCAGCATTTACCTCTGCAGCAGCTATTTGTCTTGTTCAGTACCACTGTATGAAACGCTGGCAAAATAAGCCACCATTAGGAAAAAGCAAATCAAATCTATTTCTGGGCAAGTGCCAAATTGTGTTAAGCTGTGACTAACATTGTATCTGGTGCTGATTTTAATTCAATAAGTTTGAAAATAGCAATACAATCTGATGCCATTTTCCCTCTCCTCAAGGTAGAGCTGAACTGGCACACAAGGACTGCTTCTTCCCATGGACAGGGTTAACAGCCTGGCGATGCCAAGGATTCTGCTGACTTGGCACAGTTACAGCTCACAGTGAGCGGAAGGAACCTACTGGACAGGACTGAAAAGGGAGAGGAAAATCAGTAAGTCCAGGTGTTTTTGTATGAAACGGCCACAGTGGACTGAACACTCAAGGCAGAAAATGATTTGCTGTATTTAGCAAAAGCTAACTTCTGCCTTAACCAACATCAGGTATTCAATCTCTTTCTTTGGATTTAGGGTCTGCATGTAGGGGAAGGTGGGAAAGGCAAAGGAATGACTCTTACTTTCCCTCTCTCCAAACACACGTCTGGAAACAGAAGCGACGACTTTTGTCCTCTGATTTGTCAGCTTCCAGCTCCCACAGCAGCAATAGTTGCTTTGAGGATAATCCCACGCTATCTTCAAAATCCCATCACGGCACTACAAAAAACCCCCTAGTTTATTACAGAAAGATGATGGGAAGGAACTAAGGAATAACAGTAGGAGGCAGAAAGAGGGCGAGGGAGCAGAGGTGCAACTGCTAACCTCAAAACTTGGGCCCAACATACACCAAGACCACTTGCAGCTGAGTGATCCTGGGGCAGCATTTAATGGCTGATCATTGAAATAAGCATTTTCAACTGAACTAGTATGCCAGGGGGAAATCACTGCAGCTAAAACAGAGGACTAAGAAGAAGGAACTGCTCTGTTTGACTCAGTAGGGGACCCTCCAGATTCCCTGTGCTGCTGCCTACATGCCCTGACCAGCGCTGAGCTCCTGATGGATCCCAGCACTCTAGTTTGTACCACTCAGTGAGTGTAACCATTCCTACCTAGCTCCTCACGTCACCCTCAGCAGTATGACCTGGCACTCCAGAGCAGGGTCGGACTGACGGCACTTGCTGAATACTAAACTTCCTCAGAAAAACTCCTGCTTCCAAAAAGCCTTGTATTGTTATCCTGGAGCACATGCCAAGGGACAGCATGTACACAGAGAAAACTAATTTGCTGCCCTCTCAGTTAAGGTTATTTAATGGGCCTGAAGAAACAGAACAGCTCCTCTGTTCAGTTTGTCTCCCTCAAGAGCCTAAGAGAAAGCATCACCTCCCACAGGTACTTGTCTGGCTGCAAGTGGGAGCACTGAAACGTTTTCTGTCTTGAACTGCTGAATGATACAGAGTACAACTGCAAAGGCAGCCCAAAGCATAAACATTTTACAAAGACAGCAGAGGCTGCAATGCTGCTTTTTAATGAACATTGGGAAACAGTGAAAAAGACATTGGGTTTCACAGCAGCTCAGGACACGGGGTGTTTTTCAGGTTCAGTGACCACTGCTGGCACCCTCAGCTACAAGTCTGATGGAGGGGTGCCCACAAACCCCGTCTTTGAATACAAGTCTTCAGGATACACAGCTTGTGCTTTTGTGCAGTATCTGTTCCAGATGATCCATGATGAGGTTCCCATCTTTATCCTCAAAAGGCCTTTAATATTGCAGAGAAGGGCAGTATTTTGCAATAGCAGAAACACATTTAAAAAATACTTGAAAAACAAATTCAAATGGTTCTTTATTTTTCAGGTGTGTGCAAAAGCAATTACAGCAAACAACTATAAGGGTTTTGTTTTGTTTTCTTTCCTCAAGGAAATTTTTCTATCCGGAGCCCATAAATCATATCACTGTGAAATGCAGTCCTATAACAGGATGCCCCCAGATGAGATAAAGTTGAAGGGTGAGGTTTCACCCTCACTTACATTGCGGAGTGCAAAGGACTTCTACCTCCCAGAGCACTGAAACCTATAGATCAAACCAGGATAGCTGTAACACAAAAATAACAGTGTGTGTCCACACAAGCGTTTTCACTGGTACCCAGCAATCTGATTATTCACCTGGCCCATCCAGATGAGGAAAAGGAAACTGAGAAGGGCAAGAGACTGGAGGAGTCTAGTACAGTTAAGCCAAAGCCAACAATAATGATGGCTGAAACTCAGCTTTCTGCAGGGCCTTCGGTAACCCTTTGTACTATGGCGCTTGAAATACAGTCAAAACTGTTTGCAGCCTCTGCACTGGCTCTGGCACAGATGTAATTTTCCTTTAAGTCAACAACCTATATATGAACATGTGAGCTGCAGCAAAACCTTTAAGAACTGACTATAAGTACATTGATCAAAAGAAAGGCAACATGTAACAAGGGAACTGTGCTGCTTCTATGTTTTCTAAAACCAGTTTCTCACCTGCTCTTGACAGAAACAAGCTCATAGCGCCTGACCCACTGCCAGTTTCCAACACGGTGTCTCCCGGGTGGATATCCATCATCATTAACATAGCACTTATATCCTGCGGGTGAGAAAAACATGGCACACGTCTTGGAAACCAAGAGTGATATTTGGCCAGTGACCTCCCAGTCATTAGCCAGCCTGGTTAGCGGCTAGTACCTTGGGATAGGCGATGGTGGGTCCCCGCGGCATCAGCAGCACGTATTCCTCCAGCGAGGGCCGCCTCAGTAACAGCCGCGTCCCACCCGACGTGCGTAGCATCTGCCCGGGCAGCTGCCCGATAATATCCCGGTGAGGCAAGAGCCCACCGGGGCTGGTCAACACCGAACC